CAATATTAGATTTAAGTATAAAACCTGACTCAATATTTAATAGATTAATGATTAAACAAATTTTATACATCATTGATTCATACAAAATATGGAGATGACACAATTTAAACGCCCGACAATACCCTCTAAGTTCGGCAAGCCATTTGAACTCATGTAGTTTTTAATTTTTTTTTTCTTTTAAACTCGAAAGTATTGCTTTTTTAAAACATTTCATGTGTAAAATAAAAAATAAAAAATAAAAAATAAACAATTCATAAAAATAGTACGTGACGATCTCGGCCAGGTCGAAATTATTTGCGGAGATCTTGGAATTCGAGATAAGCGGATGTGCGATAAGAATCCTAGATTTATCCTTATCCAGCTCCATTGAAGTAAGGCTTTTAAAGGGATTAGAGATCAGGGCACCCTGTCGGTCTCAGGTATATGTGATATATTGTGAGCAATGAATTGTAAGTTAAATCCTTGAATATATAGCTTTGAGAGATTATTGACTTGATCGTCAGAGTGCTCCCGGGTGGACGAACCACCGCCGGATTCTCACTGTCGATGCTCTCTAGCTGAGTTTTTTGTTTAGTTTTGTGGTCAAAAATCAACACCCACAATAAGATAACTAATATATAACAATTTGGCTACTCAATAAATCAATAAATAAATAATTGCAAATCAAAATTTTATACAGTAAACTCTAATTACATCATTGTATGCTAAGAGTTGATTTTGAACGATCTAATAAGAGATTTTGTAACTGTTTAAACTCAATTCAATTCAACTCAAACATTAAGCCTATATATTATTTCAAGTCTAATTAGAAAGAAAATACAATTATAAAGTTCATAAATTTTCATTATATTTCACAAATAAATAATATAAAATATAAAAAAATTCTATTAGTTTTGGCACATGCTACAACTCTAAATCCTAAGCCCAACTCAAAAGTTAAATAGGTTTAAAATATTTGTCTAACCTGATCCCTCGGACCAAAATACCATTCCCAAATCCTGAAGGGTTGAACTGAGTGGACTAGTGGGATGGTGTCCACCCCAACCACAGCTATGTTTGAAACATATGCCATTCATTATGAGAGTTGTATCTAATTATTTATTTCTTTCCAAATTATTTGAGCTTGTTGTAATTCTTTTGTATATTTGTAATTAATTTTTACTGATTGCCACAGCATGAAAATGCTATGGACTCATTTTGCATCATGGCCCATCTAAGTAACCCGTATTTCCCAAACTATTCAAATGAATGTGAAATCAAAGTTGTTGCATCATAGCCCATCTAAGTAACCCCAATTTCCCAAACTATTCAAATTAATGTGAAATCAATGTTATTGCGGAATCACAAGTTAAACCATGGCATTTAACCTAGTGGCTTTGTGGTGTGAAATCTCGAGGTTAACAATTTATAAAGAAGGGTTTGATATCTTTTGTGGTGGTATTTATTTCTCTTCTATTATGAGGTTGTATGTCAATAGTAATCGAGTTGCATGTAAAATTATTGAACTAGTGATTTATCATCTTATTTCTTATAAATATAAAATTTTATAATCTTTAATCTGATCTTATAACTTGATTAATTAGACCCTCTCGTTTCTCACACATTAGATCCTAATTTACACAACATAAATGATATAGACCCCTACAAACACCCCACACCCACGACCCTCACGCACACGTGTCAGAGAGATAAGAAAAAAAAGAAAAAGAAAAAAACACACATGACCAATCACAATCATTTGAGGGTCATGGAAGTCTTCCATGATGGGGGTTCTCAAATATTTTCTTTTACACAACCATGGTGTATATTCACCCGACTTTAAGAGCCATAATCTCACTCACATAATGGATTCATACATAATTGGCCAGAATCATGTACACTACCCTTGGCCACCAATAGATTTAAAAAAAAAACAAACCAAAAAAAAAACTTTTGTACAAATTACCACACAACTAACTCTTTCTCCTCCATTTTAGAGGACAAAGAAAGGATTGGAGAGAATTAAATCTTCTATTTGAATTAAATCTTCTATTCACTCTCTCCTGCTCTTTGTTCACGTACTTGGATAGGTTTGAATAAGTTAAAAGAATTGTTTAGATCTCAATTGTTCAAAGCCAACTTTCAACTTGACTTTATTTGCCCTCACACTTTCAAAAGTAAGTTTAAACTCTAAAAAAATATTTAATTAAAAAAGTTTAAACTCTAAAAAAATATTTAACTAAATTTTAATTTTTTTAATTGAACTAATCCTTATTGCACCCAAACAATAACAAGGGCAAAGGCGGTGGGAGAGAGAGTATGGGTCAGTGTGTGCTGGCTGTCCATTAGGACAAACATACCCTATAACTTAAATACTATAATAATCACAAGAACCCATCATTAATTGAATGAAGGACAAAAATACATTCAATTACAAATTTCCCTAAACAATGCATATATCCATGATCAAAGTCCAAGACACATGGTTTGATCCTTAAACTATTCTTACCCACTTTCAAATAATATTTGTTTCGGGAAAATTGAAATGATGATCTAAAAGCCCACGATTAATTTTGATACACATCTAAAGAGTATAATGTATAAATTTTTTTAAAAGTTGCTATTTTCACTCTATTCTACTCTACTCTACTCTAAATATACTTCATTATTTTTTTCTTATTATACATAATTATATTAATACCCTTAAAATTTTAATTTTTTCAGAAAATATATTTTGTATGAAACGATATTAAGGTAACTATGTATAATAAAAACAAAGAAATGAATATATTTGAAATAGAGTGGAGTGAGAATAGCAGCTCCGATTATTTTTTTATTCAAAAGTAATTTGAAATGCATAAAAAAATTTAAGATTTTATTTTTGTTATTTTTTTCTCCTTATTGATAATCTATTGGGCCAATAGAAAAATGTTATTGTTTCAAAAAATTTAGGAAAATGTTTCGTAGCTCGAAACAATTGCCCTGAATAGCTCGATTTCGAAGCAAAGGGGAAGAGAGAAGCAAAGGGAGAGAGAGAGAAAGAGAGAAGCAGAGAGCGAGGAGAAAATCAGTGTTCTCCATTGAGGGAAGGAAATCGGTGTCACATGTCGAAAATAATGTGGAGGCGGCGGCAGCGGCGGCGGCATTTCTGCAGGTGAAGGTATTGGTTACAGACATGCCAGGGTTGATGCAGGTGCAGGCATTTAGATGTGCAAAAAATGAAATTCTTGATCATGATAGATTTTTATTTTAAAATAATAGGACATCAACTCCGTCACATCATTTATATATATTTTTATTTGTATATATTACTTAGACTATTGTCATTTTTTTAACTGTAGTGTACTCATAATTCCAACAGAAGAGTATTAAAATAAATAAATTTTAAACTTAAAAAAAAAAAAAAAAAAAAAAAAACTTAGGCAGAATAATGCAACCCTACATAAATACATGACATTTATTACATCAATACACATAAAAACTGAATTAAAACTAAAATAAATTTAATAATATTTATTAATTGAGTAATGCTAGAGACTGCAAAAATTCTATCAAAATTTTTATCAAATGTCTCACATGGGTGTGAGACCCACACAATGTGGGTCCTATGTGGGTCCCACACCTATGTGAGATATTTGATAAAACTTTTGGTAAAATTTTTAAGACCTCTAGCATTTTTGTTATTAATTTTAGGACAAATTACATATACCTCCCTCGAGGTTTAGTTAAATTACAGATACCCCCTTGAGGTTTTGAAAATTACAGATACCCCATTGAGGTTTATATTTTCATAACAAATTGCCCCCTGAGATTTATATTTTCATAACAATTTGCCCCTTAATTTGTTATGCAAATATAACCTTCAGGGGGTATCTGTCATTTCTCAAACCTCAGGGGATATCTATAATTTTACTAAATCTTGAGGGGTATTTGTAATTTGTCCTTAATTTTACATACAAATTTTATTGGTATACCAATACTTTTCCAAATAGTAATGATTCCTAAATCGCGGTATCGGGTAACGTAACGGTATCGATCGCGGAGTATCGGTATCGGTAGTATCGGCCGGTACGTATTAGGAATCGGGTGTCGCGACCGTGAAATTTTAAAAATCATTAGCAATCCCTCTAAAACTCAATTTTATGCATTTTTTTTTACTCTTTTAGCCTTAATTTGTCACATTTTAATCAAAATCTTGATATGTAGGAGCACTTTTGACTCATTTTCAACTAAATGATATGTATTTATTTTAGTCACAATTATAACTTTTAATTATCTGCAATATCATTTTCAACTAAATGATATGTATTTATTTTAGTCACAATAAAATATTTAAAATAAAAATAAAAATCTAATTAGAATAAACCTCTTTAAAAAAAAAAATTCTAAATCTTAAACATCTACACCAAAACAAGACACAAATAAAAAAAATAAAAAAATATAGTACAAAAATATGGCACCAAAATAAATAAATAATAAAAACCAATAACAAACCTTTCCACTGATCCAACTTTTGACAGATTGGATTGAACATGTACTTTTCTTATTTTTTTTCCCCTCTTCTGCTAAGTAAAAATATATATATATATATATATTAATATAAACAGTGGTGGTGTAGTGTAGCCTGTAGGTGTATAAACAAAGAAAAATGAGGGAAAAAAACATAGCACTAAAACAGAGCATTGCTGTGCAACAGCAATGGTTCCAAAAAACAGAGCATCAACAACTCACCAAAAACAGAGCATAAACACAAATTATAACTTGCAACTCAGGGACACAAACCGTCTTTGAAGAAGTGTACTCATAATTCCAACAGAAGAGTATTAAAATAAATAAATTTTAAACTTAAAAAAAAAAAAAAAAACTTAGGCAGAATAATGCAACCCTACATAAATACATGACATTTATTACATCAATACACATAAAAACTAAAATAAATTTAATAATATTTATTAATTTTACATACAATTTTATTGGTATACCAATACTTTTCCAAATAGTAATGAACCCCACCCCCCACACATATATCCCACCAAAGTTTGAGTCCAAGCTATGGAACCCCAAAAGAAAGGAGCAATGTATCTTTACAAGCTAGCCCAAAATCCTGAGGCCAATTCGCCTCCGGCGACCATGAAAAAGGCAGCATCACGCAATCATTGGGGTCTAAGGAGATCGAAAACTTATAGAGAAAATGAGGGTGGTGGGCGCCGGAGGTTGGTGGTGGAGGAGGAGGGTGGAGGAGAGGTGGTGGTTGAGGCAAGAAAATCAGTGTTCTCCATTGAGGGAAGGAAATCGGTGTCACATGTCGAAAATAATGTGGAGGCGGCGGCAGCGGCGGCGGCATTTCTGCAGGTGAAGGTATTGGTTACAGACATGCCAGGGTTGATGCAGGTGCAGGCATTTAGATGTGCAAGAAGGACTTATGATAGGTTGGAGATGTTCAGCTCCAAACACATTGCCTACAACCTCAAGAAGGTGGGTTTCTCTTAATTTGTTCTTTCATTTACGCTATGTTTGGATTAAATTAATAAGAATTTGTGAAGGAGAAGAAAAAAGAAACAAAAAAATAAATAAAATATATGTTAAATTTTTTTTTTTCTCTCACTTTTTTGTTTTTTTCCCCCACAACTCTCAACTTTAATTCTTAATCTATACACAATTTGTAGTTCTATGCTTGTTTATTTTTAAGTTCTGTGGGATTTTCCCTGGCTCCAAATTGGGTATCAGGATCCTCTAGAGTTGGTTTCCTAAAGTGATCCCTGAAGTAGGGTGATCCAATGGTTGAAAATGAAACTAACCAAAACGACGTCGTTTTGGTTAGTAATATTATAAAAAAAAAAAAATTGCTTTGATTCAAAATCCCTTTGCAGATCTGATATACTCAAGTGAAGTAAAATGATAAAGAGAGAGAGAAAGAAGGAGGAACTCTTCCCACCCATCCCGACGTGCCGTTGCCGCTGCCACGCCGTTGCTCTTTGTATTTAGCTCTTTATCGGTTCACATGTCTTCCATTTAATCCTGATACTGTACCCGTTCTTTGCCACTTTTATGAGTTATGATTCTTTATAATGGAACCTGTTAATTCTGAATTTTTATTGCATAAAAAATGTTTGTGGTGTATTCCAATTATGGTTGTTTTCCCTCATAGGGCCGGCTATGGTGTTTTGAGATTTATTATGGAGAGTGGGGCAAAAGGATGCGAGGTGTGTTTTGCCTTCTTGTGTACTGGTACTGATGCTATATTGTACTTCTAAGTGTGAATCTAATTGGTTAACTAACAGGTGATTGTTAGTGGAAAACTCAAGACCATGAATATATTGATGGCGGGCAGCGGCGTTGCAGCGGCAACGGCGCGTCGGGATGGGTTGGAAGAGGTCCTCCTTCTTTCTCTCTCTCTCTCTTCGTCAATTTTACTTCACTTCAGTATTTCAGATCTGCAAAGGAATTTTGAATCAAAGCAATTTTTTTTTTTTTAATTTACTAACCAAAACGACATAGTTTTGATTAGTTTTATTTTGAGCCGTTGATTCATTCCACTTCAGGGATCACTTTAGGAAACCAACTCTAGAGGATCCTGATACCCAAATTGGTACCCTAAAAAAGGATTAGAGAAGTTTTATTCATGTGTTTTTTTTTTTTTTAAAAGAAAAATTGAATGGCTAATTTTATGGACTCCGGAAAATATTTAAAAATTATTATAAAAAAAAATTGTACGTTAGTCAATAAGTATATTTGTGAATGATTTTTTAAATTTTTTTTTGGATATGTAAAATCACTTATATTGTAAAAGGGTACTTACGGCTAGGTTTTAATAAGTAAACTTATTGTCTAATAGGTCTTCTGAAAAAAATTTGTCATAAAAAATGTCACTAATTACAATTTTTAACGACAATTTATAAAATTCATGAAAAAAAAAGTCATTAATTGTCAATTTTTAACTACATATATAAAAAAATTTCAAAAAAAAATTATTTTTATCGACAATTTATCAAAACTTATTTTTAATAAGATTTTATGGAAATTAAATCCAATTATTATAACTTATTATTTCTAGTTTACCCTATTGTAAATAGCCTAATGTAGCTTCCTTGGTGGACAAATAGTTTACAACGCAATTTATTTTCTTGCCTTTTTCTTTTTGGATTCTCCTTCTGGATTGATTCAATTTTCAGTCATTGGGACTCCACAAGGTTGGAGAAGACAATAACCACAAGTCTAGAGAAGATCTTTGAATTTTTGTCCATGGGACTCTCTCTCTCTCTCTCTCTCTCTCTCTCTCTCTCAGTTGTGCACTTTGCACATGGAAATGTTGGGTGACCAGAAGAATCTGGGCAACACAGGTCCCTGAGAGAAGATCTCTCAACACAATGATGATTTCTTGTCCAATAATACTATAAATTTAAAAATTTAATTTAAAATTTACTTAAAAATATAAATATGTGACTCAAATTTATTTTATGCATGAATCTTATAATGTATATTTTCAATCTTTATTACACACTCTCATTTTTTACACAAATCTAGAATCGTTAGTTTGGATGCCTAATTTACTATTTTTTGCCATCTAATTAATTTCTCTCTTTTACTTACTAATTAAATCATATTTATAAATTATAATAGTAAACTAATTGTAGGTTGAATAACATGGTTAGGTTAGAGAAATTATTTGTTAGTTTCTGGATCAAATTTATGAATTGCTTTAATTTGATAGTCATTAGTTTAGACCGTACAATTTATTATTTTTGTGTTGATATTTTAAAAAATGACAAAAAAATAAAAAATACTGAAAAAATACTTAATAATTGTTCAGTTGGATTCGTTGGAATCATAATTATTGATTATCCCACGTGCTCATTGCAATTCATTTAGCTAATCATTTTTTTGACTATCAAATGCTAATAAACTAATAATAGGGCAATCAAGTGGTTTATTTCTTGTGTTAATTTAATTTTTTATAATTTTAATTATATTAATTTTACACTTAAAACTTTTAGATTGTGTGAATTTAATTCAATTGGTAATGCCCCTTCAAAAAATAAATTAAAATCAAGGGACCAAATAATTTATTTGTACTTCTAAGGCTTCGTTTGGGAAGCCATGGTTTGGGCTTTTTTGGCTATTTTAGCCACAAAAAACAAAATAGGCTATTTTAGCCATAACAAACAAAACATCACATCCAACCAGTCGCGACCATACACTTGGATGGGTAAGAGGAAAAGGTAACGGTGAGAAAGGGGGGGTTCCGGCTTTTTTTTTTTTTTTTAAAGAAAAATTGTATGGCTAATTTTATGGACTCCGGAAAATATTTAAAAATTATTATAAATTTTTTTTTACGTTAGTCAATAAGTACATTTGTGAATTATTTTTTAATTTTTTTTTTTTTGGGTATGTAAAATCAATCATATTGTAAAAGGGTACTTACGGCCATGTCTTAATAAGTAGACTTATTATCTAATAGGTCCTATGGAAAAAATTTATCATAAAAAATGTCACTAATTACAAGTTTTAATGACAATTTATAAAAATCATGATAAAAAAAGTCACTAATTGTCAATTTTTAGCGACATATATAAAAAAATTTCAGAAAAAAAATTATTTTTATTAATAATTTTATCAAGACTTATTTTTAATAGGACTTGATGAAAATTAAGTCCAACTATTATAACCTATTGCTAGTTTAACCTATTGTAAATAGCCTAATGTAGCTTCCTAGGTGGACAAATAGTTTACAACGCAATTTATTTTCTTGCCTTTTTCTTTTTGGATTTTCCTTCTGGATTGATTCAATTTTCAGTCATTAGGACTCCACAAGGTTGGAGAAGACAATAACCACAAGTCTAGAGAAGATCTTTGAATTTTTGTCCCAACAATGATTCATCCCACAAGTCTAGAGAAGATCTTTGAATTTATGTGATGTTTTGGTCTTGGAATTGTATTTTTTTTTTTTTTTTACTTTTTTAATGTATTAGTGCTATTAGTGGTGATGTTTTTAGTGGGATGAATCATTGTTGTTTGTCCATGGACTCTCTCTCTCTCTCAGTTGTGCACGTTGCACATGGAAATGTTGGGTGACCAGAAGAATCTGGGCAACACAGGTCCCTGATAGATCTCTCAACACAATGATGATTTCTTGTCCAATAATACTATAAATTTAAAATTTTAATTTAAAATTTACTTAAAAATATAAATATGTGATTCAAATTTATTTTATGTATACGAGTTTGGATTATCTGCCGTGGTTTTTTGCAATGCATCCTAGGGTGGCACCAAAACGACGTCGTTTTGTAAGTTTTTTTTTGTTTTCCTTTCCTTTTCTCTCTCATTTGTTGAGAACCCTAACCCATGAAACGAGAGAGGTGAACAGAAACATGTTGAGGGCAACGGCGATTCTATGGTGGCGAAGCGAGGTGCATGAAATGTAGTTGGGTGAGATCCTTCCTGCAACTCAATTTTCATCACCCACAAAGAATGTTCATCATGTTCATGGTTTTGTAATCCAATGAATGGCATGACCTATGGTAAATATGATGATAACCCATCAAGTCATTACAATTATTCATGTCCCTCTCCTGTTAGTCGGTTCTCTCTTCAATCTGATTGTTTATCCTCAGTGGTTCTAGAAACCCATTAACCCAGAGTTTCAAAGCAAATGACCAAGTTCATTTATGAGGTGATTCAAAAAAAGAGTTTAAAGACACACCATAGATATAGAAATCTGGGCAATTTCATGGTCCCAAATTTTGGGACCATAGATTTTTCTAGTTCATTTTCAAGCTTGTCGGGATTGCAATGTGGTAGATCTCAACCCCACAAAACTCAAGAAATCAAACCCACTTAAACCGAACCCATTTACAACAACAAGGAATCAAACCTCGCCTCGCCGCCGCCGTTTCGCCTCACCGACTTTACTCCTTCAGCTTCGTCTCTCTTCTCTCCTCAGTTCTGGTTGAGTCGGGTTAGGGTTATGATGGATGAGAGAGAAAGGAAAAGAGGGGGAAAAGGAGAAGAAGAAAAAAAATTTTCCAAAACCACATTTGGTACCACCGCAGGAAACATTGTAGAAGATCACGGCAGATAATCTGAACTCCTATCTTACAATATATATTTTCAATCTCTATTACCCACTCATTTTTTACACAAATCTAGAATCATTAGTTTGGATGCCTAATTTACTATTTTTTGCCATCTAATTAATTTCTCTCTTTTACTTACTAATTAAATCATATTTATAAATTATAATAGTAAACTAATTGTAGGTTGAATAACATGGTTAGGTTAGAGAAATTATTTGTTAGTTTCTGGATCAAATTGATGTATTGCTTTAATTTGATAGTCTTAGTTTAGGCAGTACAATTTATTATTTTTGAGTTGATATTTTAAAAAATGACAAAAAAATATTAATTAAAAATTACTGAAAAAATACTTAATAATTGTTCGGTTGGATTCGTTGGAATCATAATTATTGATTATCCCACGTGCCCATTGCAATACATTTAGCTAATCATTTATTTATTTATTTATTTTTTTGTGACTATCAGATGCAATAAACTAACAATAGGGCAATCATGTGGTTTATTTTTTGTGTTAATTTAATTTTTATAATTTTAATTATATTAATTTTACACTGAAAACTTTTAGATTGTATGAATTTAATTCAATTGGTAACGCCCCTTCAAAAAATAAATTAAAATCAAGGGACAAAATAATTTATTTATACTTCTAAAAGTGATTTTGAGATTGGTATTTCAATTTGGAATATGTCATTCCCCTTTAAATTAATTATTTTGTTCTTGATTTCTGTTCAATTTATATAGATATTACCATTTGTTTTAACTTGATGCAATGTAAAAAATTAAAAAGTAAAATTGTAACAATTAAAAATAAAGAAGCCAAATTTGACACGAGGCAATTTACAAGAATTATGTGTATAATTTGCTCTTAATAATAATATAATCAGTAAGCTTATGAACCCAAAAAATTACAATTTTTTTTTTTTAATATTGCATTCGTTTTGATATAGTGATAATACCAACTCAACATTTTGGATTCATTTAAAGATTCTAAATTCTAAATACTAAATTTGTTATTATATTTATTTAGTTTTAATTCATAAATCTGTTCTTTTCTTTATTATAGACTTAGAAAATTTAAAAATAAAATGTCCATAACACTCTGTATTAATTTTAATAAAGTGTGAATTTGTTTACAATAATAAATACATAGTAGATTTTAATATTTTAATGGTGGGTTTTTCATGCAGGAGTTTGATGAGGTGTATGTGCCGGCCTGGCATTGCATTGTGGGCTCAAGTTTTGGGTCATTCGTTACCCATTCCACTGGATGTTTCCTTTACTTTTCAATGGAGAAATTTCACATTTTAATTTTCAAAACAAAAGTTCAGAGAGCTTTAAATTAATAACTTAAAATAAAATTATAAAATTTTAATTTGAAAAATTGCAACACCATAAAATAAAAAAATTTAAAAAATCAAATTTAATTTGATATTAGTGTATTTTCTTTCTTTTTTCTTTTTTTTTCCCAATTATTATTAATTATTTGTTCCTCGAGTTTGTAAATGATAATTGAAGGGCACACAAAGTGTTTATATTAATTTTTAGTTTGTTTCGTTGCATATCCATTCTTTTTATTTATTTATTGTTAGGAATATGCATTCTTTTTATTTCTTACAATAATTGTTTGGTACTTTGATTATTGTTTCTCAAGCTACTTCAACCACACGATAAGATCCTATTAGATTGAATTTTAAATTTAAACAATGCATTCAATATATCACCATTGAAAAACAAAAATGATTTTTTTAAATATTAAATGAAAGTATATCAATATTGTACGGGAGAGAAATATTTGCCTTGCTCCGTATCTCCTTACTACCAAGCTCGTCTCTCTCCGTTAGAATTCCGTCGCACTGTAGACAAAACAAAGGTGAGTTACCCGGTGATGGGTTTGTCGGAAAACCCCTCTGACAATCAAATTAGCTTTTTGGAGTAGAGAGAAGGCAGAGCACTGTAGAGAGAGAAAGAGAGAGAGAGAGAGAGAGAGAGAGAGAGAGAGAGAAATTGTTTACCTCTAATGTCTGTATGCTCCTCATTTTCAAGGCTAGCCATGCAGCCTCAGAGGTTGTGGTCGCATTACCTCTGTTATCCTTCTTTGAACAGGTGACTGTGCTCCCCTATACACTTCTTACACGTGTAGAGACTAAAACCTCCAAACA